TTAAAGTGGAATCCTTTGCTTATTGAGGTAATCATGGCAAATTATTTGAAAGCCATTCAGGGTGAGTTTAAGGACTGTATATAAGGAGTAAGATGCAAAAAATATACCTCACAACATTTTCAACTGCATAGACCTTAATAAGGAAGATCCACTCATGTAACCCCAAACTCCCAGTCCCCCACTCATGCCCACCAATTTCCATCTCAACTCTAACTGCCAGTCCTCTGTTTGCCTTTGTCAGACAGAGCATCTGGTTTCCTCACTTAAATCCTGACCAACATAACACATTTGAAATCTACTGGTGTAGAGTGGGTGTCAGATATTTGGACTAGATAATCTAATTCAGCTGTTCTCAAACTGTGAGCTGGGTCCCCAAAGTGGGTCACGACCCTGTTTTAATGGGGTCACCAGGGTTGGCTTTAGACTTGCTGAGGCCTTTGGCTGACACCAAAAGTCCGAGTCCCACCACCCAGGGCTGAAGCCAAAGCCTGAGGGCTTCAGCCCTGGGCAGCAGGGCTCAGGTTACAGCCCCCACTCACCTAGGGCTGAAGCTCTCAAGCTTTGGCTTCACCCCCCTCCACCAGGGGGTCGAGGCTCGGGCTTCAGCTTTGGCAACCCTGCCCAGGGACGGAGGGGCTCGGGCTTTGGTCCCTCTTCCTGGGATCGTGTAGTAATTTTTGTTGTCAGAAGGGGGTTGTGGTGCAATGAAGTCTGAGAAACCCTGATCTAATTCAATAGGCCACTTGCAAATTGATTAACCCCATCATGATACACCAGGTGCACCAGGATCATGTTACTGTGCTACCACATTTTTGACCAAATTAATCTCTGGCTGCCTTTTTTGTTTATTTTGATATGGTATTTTTGATAACAATACTTTGTGATTTTATTGTCTCATATTGAGTGAGTTAGTTTAATCATGTGTCAGAACAGAATTACTGTAAGTAATACAATTAGTACCCAATTAGTACCATACAATTAGTACCCAAAACTGCAACATGTAATTATGTAATCATGATACTGCAAAAAATAAAATAAAATAAACCTGAGCAGAAAATGTGCTGTACAAAGGGCATGATAAATAAACATTAAAGTTTTGGCCATTTCCAATGTATTTTTCACAAATTACTTTACATCACAGAACTAATCAGTAATGAGCAGCCCTCAGCAGACCCAGAATGAATGCAATTCTGGATGTTCATTGGCTTATCTGAACCTTATCTAAACTATTTGGATCTCTTTAGGCTGCAAAATTTGGCTGGAAATTTACACCTGGGTAAAGTGGCTATGAAATGCTACCAATACTGTCACCAATGCAAATGACCAATGCAAAGGTCAGGACAACAGAGGATCAGGTCCCTTGTGCTCATAGACTTTCACATGTGCTTTCAATTCCAGGCCTGAACAGAAAGCCGAAGTGAAAAAAAAACTATCTACATATTTCAAAAGCTTTAAAAAGCTTTACCATTCATTTTGTTTTAAACATGGGTGATAGATGAGGATGTTAGTTTGCTCACACTTGTTCAGCTATTCTCTTTAATACCTGCAAATCTGTTTTGAGCATTAAATTCTGCCAAAAGTGCATGAAGCCACTTGAGAGATTTTGATCACAAATACATTTGTTCCGTTCTCACTATAAAGTGAACAAACTGATATTTAAAAAAAATCTGTAACTTCCCCACCATCACACACACAAACACACAAAATTAGTCATCCTTTTATGTGAAGTTTATGTTGGGAGTGTATTTTTACTACTGACATGAAAACACTTGGAAACAAGGTGTCTAATGGAAATGATGCACCTTTAACTCTGGAAGGATTACTGCCACAGGTATTTTATGGTCCTATGTACAAATTTTTACAATAGTCTGTTCATTGTCATTCTTCCCTAAAAGAGACAGTCAACTACTGTATTGACATCTTCATTTTTCTTACTGTAATCTACCTCTGTCTCTTCTAGTTATACTCACATCCTTTCTTACAGGCCTCTCTGCAGACAACTTGCTGTTATTTCCCCCCCCCCCCCCAAAGATGACTTAAGAGAGAGAGAACCACAGTCACCCTTTTCAAAGTAGACTTGAATGTTCTCACCATTTTTCTGCTCCGGTACAAAAGATTTAGATGGTACCTCAAGTAAAATTGATGCTGGAAACAGCAAAATATTCTGACTTTATAGAAACACCTTTAACTACTTTTCAAGCATATTTATGGCAATTTCTTGACTTTTATTTACTGAATAACAATTTTCATTTCCAATGTATATACTGCAATTCTGAAAAAGCACCTTTAATCTTAATATATATATATACACAAAAAGAACAATTATTCAGTAGCTTTTCTACATAATATCTGTAGAAGCAATAAGAAGATGACAGAACAGTGGAAGTATTTCATATAATTATGGTTTATACCTGTCAGGGTTCCTTCCCCACTCTGAACTCTAGGGTACAGATGTGGGGACCCGCATGAAAGACCGCCTAAGCTTATTTTTACCAGCTTAGGTTAAAAACTTCCCCAAGCTACAAACTTTGCCTTGTCTTTGAATAGTATGCTGCCACCACCAAGTGTTTTAAACAAAGAACAGGGAAAGAGACCACTTGGAGACATCTCTCCCGCCCCCAAAATATCCCCCCAAGCCCTACACACCCCCTTTCCTGGGGAGACTTGAGAATAAGATCCTAAGCAATTGGTTACAAAATCATCACAGACCCACTGAACCCCTGGATCTTGGAACAATGGAAAAATCAGTCAGATTCTTAAAAGAAGGATTTTATTTAAAAAGAAAATAAAGGTAAAAATCATCTCTGTAAAATCAGGGTAGAAAATACTTGACAGGGTATTCAGATTCAAAACACAGAGGATCCCCCTCTGGGCAAAACCTTAAAGTTACAGAAAACAGGAATAAATCTCCCTCTTAACACAGGGAAAATTCACATAAAACAAAAGATAAACTAATCCACCTTGCCTGGCTTACCTGTACTGGTTCCAATATTGGAGACTTGGATTAGGATGGGTTGGAGAAGATGGATTTCTGTCTGGCCTCTTTCAGTCCCAAGAGAGAACAACCACGTAAACAAAGAGCACAAAAAAAAAAAAGCCTTCCCCCCACCCAAGATTTGACTGTATCTTGTCCCCTTATTGGTCCTTTGGGTCAGGTGCCAGCCAGGTTAGCTGAGCTTCTTAAGCCTTTACAGGTAACAGGATGTTGCCTCTGGCCAGGAGGGATTTTATAGCACTGTATACAGAAAGGTAGTTACCCTTTCCTTTATATTTATGACACTCTTTTATTAAATGCATAATCACAATATTTCAAAAGTCTGTATTTTGATTGAATGAGGGAGGTGAGCTCTAATTCTTTCCAATAGAAAACCCCATTCTCAACGTTCTTTATCTCTATTTCTCATTTAAGTTTCTAAGCTCCTGAAAGTCTACCACTTGTGCTAGCAAGAGGAAGAGAAGTCAAATTGTACAAATTACCTATAGATGAGAAAGCATGCCATCCCAGACCTCAGTACAAGCTCACATATTAGAACACCAGCTGAACATATCTTTCCTGCTCACTGTGCCATTGTGAAGATATTTTGGTAGCTGGATATCTGTAATACAGAAGCTTAGTGGGGACACAGCGGTATGTTTATATAAATCTGCCACATAAAATGACTTCATAAGTCTTTGCTACCATCTAGGGCGCATACCGTATTTTCATAAATACCAGCTTTATTTTAACAGAATCATAGAACCATAGGGTTAGAAGGGGCCGAAAGGGTCATCTAGTCTAACCCCCTGCCAAGATGCAGGATTTGTTGAGTCTAAACCATCCAAAACAGGCGGTGATCTAGCCTCGTTTTGAAAACCTCTAGTGAAGGAGCTTCCACAACCTCTCCAGGCAGTGTGTTCCATTATCCTACTGTTCTTATCATTAGGAAATTTTTATTGAGATTTAATTTAAATCTGTTATTGTGGAGTTTGAACCCACTGCCTCTTGTCCTACCCTTTGTGGCAAAAGAGGACAACTTTTCTCCATCTTTTTATGGCAGCCTTTCTAGAATTTGAAGACCGCTATCATGTTCCCCCTTAATCTCCTCTTATCCTAGCTAACCATACTCAGTTCCTTCAGCCTTTGCTCAGATGGCTTGCATTCCATCCCTTTGATCATATTTGTCCCTTGCCTCTGGGTCCTTTCCAGTTTCTCTACATCCTTTCTATACACTGGTGACCAAAACTGGACACAGTACTCCAGCTAAGGCCTAACCAGCACCCAATAGAGCTGTACTATCACCTCCCATGACTTGCATGCTATGCCTCTGTTAATGCAACCCAAAATTGCATTTGCTTTTTTTGCAACAGCATCACATTGTTGACTCATGCTGATGCTGTGATCCACCAGAACTCCCAGATCCTTTTCAGTAGTACTGCTGCCAAGCCAGTTATCCCACATTCTGTATTGGTGCATTTGGTTTTTCTTCCCTGAGTATAGCACCTTATATGCATCTGTGTTGAATTTCCTTTCTTGTTTATAGCTCAGTTCTCCAGTTTGTCAAGATCCCATTGAATTTTATCTCTATCATCTAAAGTGTTTGCAGCCCCCTAGCTTTATGTCATCTGCAAATTTGATCAGCATGCTTTCTATTCCTATATCCAGGTCATTAATAAAGATGTTAAATAACACAGGACCCAGAACAGAGCCCAGTGGAACCACACTTGAGACACCCTTCCAATCTGACATCATTCCATTCATAGTTGCTCTTTGTTTGCCGTTGCTTAACCAATTATGTATCCACTTAATGATAGTTCAGCCAGCCCCACATTTCTCCTGCTTTCTTATCAGACTGTCATGTGGCACTGTGTCAAAAGCCTTGCTAAAGCCCAGGTATATTATGTCCACTGCATTCCCTTTTAACATTTTCATCAAAGCCATCATCACAATTGACTCTAACTGACACATTTGGCAGAATCAGCAAGCAAGACAAGTCCAGACAGAGCCATGGAGACAAAATTACCCTTTCATCCCCAGATGTGCTCCTCCAGTTCGCAGCTGGAGCACATTGATGGATACAGCATGGGGGGGAGGGGCAATGTCCACTTCTGCTGCCCTGGGTCTGAGGATGAAAAGAGGATTTGAGTCTCCAAGACTGTTGTTAAGCACCTTTCACAAGAACTACATTCTGTTCAAAATTGTAAAAGGTAAATACGTTCAAAGCCACAGAAACTAAAATTCTAGCTGAAACAGACAGTGCTTTTTTTTTTTTTTTTTTTCAATATTCAGCGAAGACGGGAATACATAATACAACACAAATATAGATAGTATCACAAAGAGGAGGGCGGTCAAGAGTCTTCATTTAAGGACACCCGAAGTAAAGGGAATACATTTAGAAAGTTAATCTCAGGTTAAATATTAGAAAAAATGCTAATACGTGTAAGAGAGTCAAGGTGGGTGAGGTAATAACTTGTAGAGGATCAGCTTCTGTTGGTGACAGAGATAAGGTTTCCAGTGTATGTAAGATCCAAAGACAGTCTCTCTCACCAACAGAAGCTGGTCCAATAAACGATATTACCCCACTCACCTTATCTCTCTAATATCCTGGGCCCAACATGGCTACAACATCACTGCATTACAACAATATAGTTAGGATAAGGACATTTGAAACAATCTGCTAAAGTAGATTGTGGAATTATGTCATCTGGAGATGTTCAAGGCTGTCATAAGACACATCTAAAATACGGATGCTGCAGGGAAAATATTGGCACAATACGGGGGAATGGTCTAACCTACCATAGTTCCCTTCGGAGTCGAATAATTCCCTGACTGCAGACTTTCCACCACTAGAGACTGAAAGTGTCTGAAGTAGTAGTTGGTCCCATACAACAAATAAACTCTGACGTATTCTTCATTGAAAATACTCAAAATAGTAAAATAGTCCATGAAAATGTTTTCCATAAAGGACACTGAGAGCTTTCCATATATTCTGAGAATGGAAACATTCACTTCTCCAATATCATAATGCAGATGATGCTGATCAGAATGAAACTGAAAAGTTTCACAGGATTTTCACTATTAACTCTTAGAACAGGTGTTTATGAGGTAAAACTTGGTTCTATTTGCAGTCTACATACTTGCTGCAGAACTACAGGGAAGCACTACCCAGGAACCCTTAGATTACTGGTAGAAATATTCTCTAGGTTAGCAAGACTTGCATTTCAGGAAGGTGTCTCACCTGTGCCTGGCTGTCAGAGCTGAGGTTTCCCCTGCCAGAGTCATTCCCCATGCCAGAATCCTCAGCAGAAAGGAGAATGTCGGTCAAAGCCTTTTGGCCCGGTTTGAGAAAGGTGAACTCCTTCTGCCCCGAATCGGCAGCTAAGCACATCTCGTAAGAATAGGGTAACTGCAAAGTCCCATTGCTGTAGTTGCAGGAGAATTTGGGGTCGAGACTAGAATAAAGATCCGGATTGTAAGATCCAAAAACTGGGGGAATTCTAGGTCTCCGACGTTTAAAAATTAAAACCGATATCGCTGTAAAAAGGAATAAAAACGAAATCAAAGCTAGAGCTACCACCAAAATAACAGTAAAGCCAGACTGAGAGGCCGAGTCACCCGATTGGTCGCTCATTTCCGGAAGAGCCTCTTGGAAGTTCTCGGCAAACACCAGGTTGAGAGTCACTGTGGCGGACAGAGGCGGCTGCCCGTTGTCCTTCACCAGGGTGACCAGCCTGTGCTTCACAGCATCTCTGTCCGCAAAGGCGCGGGCTGTCCGGATCTCCCCGCTCTGCAGCCCCATGCTGAAGAGCGACGGGTCCGTGGCCTGGAGCACGTGGTAGGAGAGCCAGGCATTGTGTCCCGAGTCAGCATCCACCGCCACCACCTTAGTCACCAGATAACCTGCCTCGGACGAGCGAGGCACCATCTCGAACAAGGCGGAGCCATCGGCTCCAAAGGAAGGGTACAGGATGCGAGGGGCGTTATCATTCTGATCCACAATAAACACCCTGACGGTGACATTGCTGCTGAGAGGCGAGGACCCGCCGTCTTGGGCCTTTACTTGCATCTCAAACTCCCGGAATTGCTCGTAGTCGAAGGAGCGCTGCGCATAGATCACTCCGGTCTGGGAGTTAATGGAGATATAGGAGGAGAGAGGCACCTCTTCGAGGTTGCTGCTCAGGAAGGAGTAAGTGACTCGGGCGTTCCGGTCCAGATCCCGGTCTGAGGCTTTTACACTGAAAATAGATGCTCCCGAGGGATTGTTCTCTGGCACATAGGCGGTGTAGGAAGGTTTCTCAAAGACAGGCGCGTTGTCATTGATATCCGAGATCTGCAACAGGATGGTTTTCTGGGTGGAGAGTGGGGGAGAGCCTTTGTCTGTGGCGGTGATTGTGATATTGTACTCCGGGGTCCTTTCCCTGTCCAGGGTGCTGTCTGTGAGGAGCTTGTAGTAGTTATGAGAGGACGATATTATTTTAAACGGCAGCTCATCTTGGAAATGACAAAACACGATCCCGTTATCTCCAGAATCTTGATCGATTACATTGATCAGAGCTATCACTGTCCCAGGCACTGAGTCTTCGAGGATGGTGCTGGCCAGGGATGCGAGTGTCACCTCGGGGGCATTGTCGTTCTCATCAAGAACCTCGAACTTCACTTCGCAGTGTGTCACTAGTCCGCCTCCATCCTTTGCTTCTACCACCAGGGTGTAGTCACGTGTCTCCTCAAAGTCCAAGGGCTCCTTTAGGGTGATTTCCCCGGTTTCTGGATCCAGCCTGAATTTCTGACGGGCTTTTTCTGGAATGTTGCTGAAGACGTAACTGATCTGAGCATAGGAACCTTCATCGTTGTCGGTGGCTTTAACCTGAAGCACTAAGGAGCCCGTCGGTGCATTTTCCCTTAGGCTGACTTTGTACAGCTCCTGAGTGAAGATGGGGGGGTTGTCATTGGCGTCGGTGACATTAATCCATATCTGGGCGGTCCCAGTTCTCTGCGTCTCACCCCCATCCACAGCCGTGAGGATCAAGTGAAGGCTGCGCTGGCTTTCCCGGTCCAGGGGTTTCTGCAGCACTAAATCTGCATATTTATTGCCATCCCGGCTCTCTTTGACTTCCAGGATGAAATCCTGATTGGGGCTCAGCTGGTAACTCTGCAGAGAATTCACCCCAACGTCAGGGTCTTCAGCATTTCCCAGGAGAAAGCGAGCACCTGGTAAAGTAGATTCACTCATCTCTAGTTTGATATTATCTTTTAAGAAACGCGGGGCATTATCGTTAATGTCCTGGATCGCGACATTTATGTGGAAAACATTCAAGGGATTTTCCAGCACAGTCTCGAAATTTATGAGGCAGAGTTGAGATGTCCCGCAAATCTCTTCCCGGTCTATCCTGTCATTCACATAGACGTTGCCACTTTCTCCATTCACGCGGAAGTATTGCTTTTTAACTGCAGAGAGAACACGGAGCTTCCGGCTGGGCAGTTCTCTCACACTCAGCCCCAAATCCTTGGCGAGATTCCCCACAAGGGAACCTTTCGCCATTTCCTCGGGAATTGAATAACGGATCTGCTCCGAGACCGCGCCCCAGAACAAAGCGAATAGGAAGAGAAACAGCAGTACCTGCCGTGTGACTGCCCGATTCGGCTCTCTGATTTCCATCCCGTCTCTGTCAACTTTACTCTCTCCTCTCTTGCTTTATTTTGATTACTTTAGTTGTTTCGAAATCCCGTCAGGTTGAAGTAATCCGCGGTAAGGAAGAGTAAATATAGCTCCGATTGTCTGCTTAAGGGTACATTGTGCTCCGAGGAGATTCCTTTTCATAGAGAGACAGTGACTGTCTCCCTGCAGTTTCCTCTGCGATCTGCGTTGTGTGATGGAGCAATCGCTGCGCAGGAGGCTCCGATGGATCTCCGGCCCCAGCCCTGGCTCCGCATTGGCCAACAGCGGCACTCTGAGTCTCAACGGGAGTACTGCAATAGCAGTGATCTTATCACCGCACCAACACAGCTCTAGCGACTATCATGAAAGAATCCCCCCTTGCTAAACACTATATTCTAAATCTATAGCCTTGTAACATTGCCAGACGTGAACAGTTGCGTCCCAGTTGACTGTGGACTTCATGTTTTTTTGTGTGTGTGAGTTTATATATATACTCAATTTAGAGTATACCAAACCGCTATTTTACGGGGAATGGAATAATGGAACAGTACGAAGGGTGACTGTGCACATCTTTATATACACAGGACTATTATTGAGAAGAGGAAAGAACGTTCCAGCAGTTACAATTGTTTCCACATATGGAATCACAATTCCCACACACCCAGATTTCTGTGAGCGCCAACAAATAATAGTTCTGAAAAAATTGACAGAAATATTTTAATATTGTAAAAGAGAAGAGTAGTTCGGTATAGACTTGTGAGCAAAACAAATTTTGAGTGGTTTACCTTAAGGTCCTTTTTGTCCGCTAAAAAATTCTCGTTTTCCTGTACATCAAACAAACACAGAAAAGAAAAAAAAAAGAAAAAAAGAGAAAACCCCTCCCATTGAAAGAACAGTGCATGCACTTCTAAAAGCTGAGAAAAAGGCCTGTTGTGGTAAACTACACTATATTTAAAAAGTAGGCGCACTTCTCTCACAGAACCAACCCCAGGAACACAAATGCTGCCAAAAGAACGCTTAGGTGTTCCAAACATGAAACGTTCTGAAACCATGACCATGTTCCTGTAACATCCCTGTATTCAAAGGCCTTCCCATGATGCAAAAATAAATTAAATAATTCAAGATGGCAACATAAAAAAGAACAAAATTATCTATAACTATATAACCACAATTCCAAAGATATTTCAGTCATTCACTTATCTCTGTACTAATGCGCATGATTTACAAACACATAATGCTTATTTAATAAAAGGTCTTAAGAAATTTTAGAATATTTTTCCTATGTTAATTAATAAACATGTGAAAGCGTCAGTACGGTATGCCACTATCCATTGTAATTTGTTAAGGCTCAAAATTAGGACACAACAACATTATTATTGAGAAAAATGTGAAAAATGTTGATTTAATCTCTCTCTCTTTAAAAGCTATGTTGTCCTAGATTAACAGTAATATACTTTCTTGAAAGCTAAATTTCTAACAAAATAATCAGCTATGCAGGCCCATGTAATCTTTCCGGTAAAGAACACTATTCCACACAACTGAATAAAGACTGTGTCAGGGTGAAAACAAACCTCTATTTCTTAAGAATAAGGGAAGGATATTAAGATACCTGTTTGTAACACAAATTCCAGAAAATCATTCATTTTACAAACCTAAAAATAGCACAACATTGGCTTTCTAGACAATAGCAAAGAAAATGCCAGGGCCTTCGGGTGACACTCAAAGCACTCAATGGAAATCACTCGGTTTATTATAGAGAAACACACACACTCTCCCTTCCCTCCCTCTCTCCAATATACGAACATATAAATTAGTATCTTTACTGATGAGCCGTCTAGAAATCCACAGATACCAACAGGTTTCAGAGTAACAGCCGGTGTTAGTCTGTATTCGCAAAAAGAAAAGGAGTACTTGTGGCACCTTAGAGACTAACCAATTTATTTGAGCATAAGCTTTCGTGACCTACAGAAGTGAGCTGTAGCTCAGGAAAGCTTATGCTCAAACAAATTGGTTAGACTCTAAGGTGCTACAAGTACGCCTTTTCTTTTTACAGATACCAACAATTTCAGATAAAAAATGATAAAGCTCAAAAGTTATAGCCTCACCTGAAACGAGGTCTGATCCTCGTAACTAATGTTTAATTCTTCAGTAACTAGAATAGGATTCTTTATCTCACAAGTCTGCTGACTGGTCACGGTATTTGCATAGTTTGATTTGGGAAAGTTGAATTGGCTCTTTCTGGAGTCCGTGGTTAGAGAACCCTCATGTGAGTAGGAGTGAAGAAAAGCTCTGACTCCATCGAGCCCCACAAACTGCGAGACGGGAACTCCACTGAAAGTCACACTCGAGGAGTCAAACAGCTGCGAGTTTCTCCACCTGCGGAGCCTCAGGGCCAGTAACACTAGGATAAAGGTAAAGAACAAGCAAGAAACGGAAGCCACAGCGATCACCAAATACAAGGTGAGGCTGGACTGGGGGTCTGCAGAAGCTGAGAGGCTGCTTAAATCGGAGAGGATTTCGGAGATGCTGTCAGCCACCACCACCGTGACAGTGGCCGTGGCAGAGAGAGGGGGCTGCCCGTTGTCCTTCACCAAAACCACCAGACTTTGCTTGAGCGCATCTTTGTCTACAAAGGAGCGCGCTGTCCTGATCTCGCCGCTGTGGAGTCCCACAGAGAAGAGCCCCGGCTCTGTAGCCTTCAGCAGCTGGTAGGAGAGCCAGGCGTTCTGCCCGGAGTCTGCATCCACCGCCACCACCTTAGTGACCAGGTAACCCGGCTCGGAGGAGCGAGGGGCCAACTCCACTCCCGTGGAGCCATCGGTGGGAAAGGAGGGGTGTAAGCCATCGGAAAGGAGGGGTGTAAGATGTGCGGGCTGTTGTCATTCTGATCCAGTATAAAGAGAGTGACGGAGACATTACTGCTGAGAGGTGGGGAACCCCCATCCTGAGCCTGCACTTGGAACCGAATCTCCCGGAACTGTTCGTAATCGAAGGAGCGCAGAGCGTAGAGAGCCCCAGTCTCGGAGTTAACGGAGATGGAGGAGGACAAAGGCACTTCGCTTCTGTCTGCTTCATTAATGGAGTAAGTGACTCTCGCGTTTTCCCCCCAGTCGGGGTCACTCGCCCTCAGGGAGAAAACGGAGACTCCTCTCGGGTTATTCTCAGTGACGTAGCCGGTGTAGGGTATTTTATCGAAGAAAGGGGCGTTGTCGTTCGTGTCTAAAATCTGGAGTGAGATCGTGATGGCTGTAGAAAGAGGAAGAGTCCCATTGTCCGTGGCGGTCACTGTGATGTTGTATGCTGCCACCTGCTCCCTGTCCAGGGCTCGGTCTGTCACCAGACTGTAATAATTCTCGAAGGGTTTCTTCAGCTGGAAGGGGAGGTCGATTGGTAACGAACAAGTGACCTCCCCGTTCTCTCCTGAATCCAGATCTTGTACATCTAAAAGAGCGATGACAGTCCCGAGGGGAGAGTCCTCGGGGATCGAGCTGATGAGAGACCTGAGAGCGATTTCCGGAGCGTTGTCATTCACATCGCTAACAACGATCACAATTTTGGACCTGCCAAAAAGTCCTCCCCCGTCATGCGCTTGTACCTCAATTTCATACAATGAAGCTTCCTCAAAGTCAAGATTTCCCACAATAGTTACATCTCCAGTGTTCGAATCCAAGCGGAATATTTTGGAAGCTTTGTCTGTGATTTTTTTGAATGAGTATATCACCTGTTTGTTTATTCCTTGGTCCGGATCAGTTGATTTTACTGTAAGAATTGTGGAACCCTTCGGGACATTTTCCAAAACGTTCACTTTATAGATAGGCTCGCTAAAAACCGGTGGGTTGTCATTTGCGTCAAGAACAACAACGCGGATTTGCGCAGTGCCCGATCTGACTAGATCTCCCCCGTCAGTGGCTGTGAGGACTAGATCGTGAACAGCTTGTTCTTCCCGGTCTAGAGACTTTTCCAGCACCAGTTCGGCATATTTAACTCCATCGGTTCCCGTTTGCACATCAAGAGAGAAATGCCTGTTATTGCTGAGCTGGTAGCTCTGGAGAGAATTAATACCCAAATCTGAGTCATGGGCATCACTCAAAGGAAACCGCGATCCCGGTGTTGTTGTCTCGCTGACTTTTAACTCAATTTCTTCTCTCTGGAAGCTGGGAGCATTGTCATTAATATCTGTGATTTCAATTTCAACTCTATAAAGCTTCATTTTATCCTCCACTATAACCTCACAGTTTAACGAACACTCCTCCAGCGCGCCACAGATCTGCTCTCTGTCTATCCTCTCTGTGGTTATTAAATGGCCGCTCTTAAAATTCAAAGCAAAATACTGGGTCCTACCTCTGGAAGCAATGCGGACTGCGCGGTCTGAGAGCTGCTTTACTTCCAGCCCCAGATCCTTTGCGACATTCCCCACGGAAGATCCTATCTCCATTTCTTCCGGAATCGAATAGTGAATTTGCCCAGAAGCTGACTCCCAAACGGTAGCCAACATAAAGCAGAACAGGGCTCGCCCTTTGCAGTGCCGTAGCTTTTGTGTTTCTGGCACTCCCATGCTGGTCTGGAGACGCCGCGTTTGGATTTTATCTTTGGCAGAATGTTTCCGAAAATATTTATAGTTAAAACCAAAGCCACTTGCAGCGAATATCACCGTTTAATATTCATACCCGGTGAGTGTGAATCTGATCTCTGTGTTCTGTGCTGTGAAACAGCGGGGCTCGGCTGGCTGGATCTCTCAGCGCATTTTGCTTCCTGATTGGTGAACAGCGGCGCTCAGAGTCTCAACCAATAACCTCACACGCTTCCTGCTGGAGTTTTTAGACTGATAGTGTGTTGGAATTTTAATCTGATAGGCAACATTCTACCCTCGGTGGTTTCTCCTTGTTAGGGATATGTGAGAGCTTGAAATGCTTCCAAGTAATGGAGAAAAATGTTGGTCGTCAGGAATCTGGGTTGTTATGCACAAATATGTAGAAATAATATTTTATGTGTTTTTAATATGTTTATGCGTGAATTACATGTGAACAGATTTGCCTAGGATTATTATGTCTAAATCTATGCTTTTCCACCTGACTGTCCTTGGTGGTGCACTTATGCACTCTTAAGTTGCTATATACTAATATGCTCTTTTAGTAAAGTTCTTATTGAGTTGTACATTATCAGCATTAAATATTATATTTTTATATTTCAGTTATATTTGGCTGTTCATGTTCGTTACTT